CTTATCTCAACTGGTGCCGACCAACCATTACATCACATCCACTGAAAAGTTTATCAGCTTTTGATTTTTCGCATTTCGCTATTTCCGAGTGGCTATGAAGGTAATGCTAACATTCATGTAGATTAAGGCTAAACTGAAACAATTTGAAATGAATCGTAATTTCAAGAATTTGAAGGAAAATCGCAAAAATATACTGAAAGATTTTTACAAACATGATTCAGTATATTAAACTATAAGTATTAGGTTGGCACATAAGTAATGCAACTTTTTATATAACTTTTGCCTATTTGAACGTAGCGCATTCATTTTTTGGCAATATAAGGAATATGATGTAAGCTTCTAATGCACACATTTTTGCCGAAATTTACCATTTTATGTGAGAATTACGGTAGGTTTACGGTACTATGGGAAAAATTTTAGAATGCATCAGATCTTGCTGAAACTTGGCCTGTGGAGCTTATTTAACATGCTGATCACAAAAATAACATCCGTTTCGCATGAAAAGGCCTCGTTCGTGAGATCAAAATATGAATTTCATTTTAGCGACAAATGAATATGATATTCGTGTTTACCGCATAGAATTACCCTATAGTGCAAAGTTATAGCGAATTCTGACTTTTCGCAGCTTAGTTATCGACAAATTGCCTTCAAAACTTAACGCATTTGACTTGTTCAACTTCTCAAAGACGCCCCACCTTAAATTGTGTTTAACTTTCATCTCATTTTCACTGATTCCAATGTGCCAACTTCCAGCTGCATGCTGCCTATAATTGCTTTTTCATATGCTTGGATCAGGTTTCGTAGGGCTCCATGATTGCCAAAAAATCGTGAAATCTCGATTTTCAGCAGTTTTCAAAAAATGCTTAGATTTTTTGTACTATGTTAACAAAAATCAAATGGTTTGCGCAGACTTGCAGCTTACATCACGATCTACAAGATATCACAAAATGAGATTGCTACAAGAAATAGGAAAAAAGTTACGGGAAAAGTTGCAAAACTTATGTGCCAACCTAATATTACATGGAACTCAAGGTGTTTTATCTTGAAACAGTTTCGCACATCGAAATTATAAAAATAAGTGCAAACCTCCTCAGAAAAGCGTGTTATACTATCGCAAAACCAGAACATGTCTGTTCTAGTGTAGATTAGCTTAGCTGGTTGGCTTCTGCCTCTCAAAATGTTACCAAGTCTTTGGACCTATATTCTGTGTGACTTGAATTTTGACAAAAGTAAGAAGGACATGTTTTACACAATAAAACAGATGCATTCGCTTTCTCCTGATCAATTCCAAAAAAATTAGGGATATCGAGTGTCACGCTCCCAACTTTTTCTCATTTGTGACGAGGATCAAACATGGGTTTCTTTCAGACTTTTAGAAAATCGTGGTGGATGATGTGCGGAAGGAACTCACGATCAGAAATGCTAGAACGGTGTTGCTGCTTAATTTTGTTCTATTTTATTTTTGATTTGTAGCCTTGGAATGTTACAGCAAATGTTATGAATGCTTGATGACGTGTTCAGCATATGTGTGGAATTCCAGAATTTCCAAACTCCAGAATTTTTATGGAGAAGCTCCGATTTTTGAACAGAAGATTTCATGGCCATCCGTCATCGTGATCCATGATTTATGGTCTCGTCTTGCTTTGCACTATCGAAAAATTACCTAGACCCCACTGACATTGGGAATAAGCTCTGTTTAGGGGTAAAAGCTACCGTACAATTAAATATTTACTATTGGAAACCGCCACTCATACGGTGCATCCAATTCCATTCCCTTCGCACAAGTGTAACATCCCTACCTATGGTAGTTGCGAAACGTTAAGGTAGCGGCCGCAGTATTGGCCCATATCACGGACTTCATCATTAACCTGCCTTTATAAACAACAAGAGCAGATGCAGTGATAAATGGCATTCATACAAACGACAATGACATTTATCCTGCTTTCCGCTTTTGTTCTGCCTTTGGCGCTGGCACAATTCCCAGGAGCCGAATGTAAGTATGTTCTCTTCCTAAACCTCTATTGAAATAGCGCCCTTAGCTCAGTCCTGAATAGCACTCAATGTTTTTTAGTGGGAGGTGTTGGCAGATTCCCGGGAAGTGGTGATTTTATCAGCGAGCGAAGTTACTATTAGGTTGTCCCGAAAGTTTTGTCCGTTTTTTCAACCTATCATAAAAATACATGAAACAAAGATAGGGAAACGCTCTAAGCACTATCCGACGCAGCTTTTCTTCCTCTTTCTAACTGTCATAATCTTGTGCAGATTACTCTTTTGCTCACTGAGATAAAACCCGAAATTTCGAACCCTTCGTTTTCACTATGTCCAAGTTTGACAATTGTTCACAGTCTTCATTTTCAACTTTTGGAATGCCTTTGATAGCCCTCAGATAGAGTAAGCAAAGGGCAATGCAATGCATTTATTTGGCATATCTAGCTGGCTTTTAAATATTTTTAAAGATAATTTTTTCAAAAGTTTTCACTTTTGCAAAGTTCTAAAATACGGAAACGCCTCGAACACTAATAAACCATCGGATTCTGGAGCTTTCAAAAACCGATTACGATTATTCACTATTTTTACGAAGCAAATGAGCGTTTACCGCTTCGAAATATAAGATTTTGCATTTTAAGTGTACACGCTGGGTGGGGCCAAATTCAAGAATTATAAAAATTTTATCGCCAAAGACCCCACAAATTGGAGAGAAAATACACTCACTTGAAAGAGGAGGAAAAGCTGCATCGAATAACACCTTAGCTGTGCGCCGTTTCATGATCTGTGACTTTTAGCATCACCAAAAGTGGAATTTGATAGCATCAGAAAAATAATTCTAAAAAATTTTCAAGGCTGGCTATAGATGCCGCAAAATCGCATTATATTGCTCTTTGTTTGCTCTATCTAACCGTTGCCAATGCTTTTCCGAAAGTCAAAAATAAAGATTGTGAAAAATTGCCAAACTTGGACATAGTAAAAACCATGGGTTTGAAATTTCGGCGTTTATCTCAGTGAACAAAAGATTAATCGGCATGGAAGCATGACACTTAGAAAGAGAAGGAAAAGATGCGTCGGATAGTGCTTAGAGCGTTTCCCTATCTTCGTTCCACGCGTTTTTATGATAGGTTGAAAAAACGGACAAAACTTTCGGGACAACCTAATATATGAGGGGACGCCTCGTCTGCGGCATTCAAGGAGCACAAGGAGCTAGAGTCTCTTTGTGGGAAAATAGAGGTTTGCACCTTCGAATCATTACACAAATAAACCCTACCCCTTTTGTAGGTCAAGGATCCCCAATCATTTGCGAGGAAGCGATAGTCGATGCTGGCGGAAGCTTCTATGTGAAAGCTGAGATTCGCAACGGTATAGGATTTTCTGGTGCGAGTTTGAGCGGTTATGTTACCTTAACCATTACCCACAGCTGTCAGGTTAGCTATTCACCTTTACTCTGGCTTCCCCCTATTTGTGACAAATTCAGGGCCAGCGACAGATGAGCATCGAATTGCCAGTGACATTTTAATCAAGGCATCGTCCCTATCAAGACTTACGATTTGGGTAAGTACACCCCATGAGGGATATCTGAGATTATTTTGCGGAAGTTCTATTTCAGGAACGATTAATCTTGATGGTAGATTTTTGGGTGAAGAAAACAACGGCTTCGGAGAAGCCGAATAGGTCTAGGTAGCAACCACGATTTCAGGAGAGGATTCAACCTTGGTGTATTTGGCAGTGGTCCAATACACCATTAAGCGCTTTGACAATCAACTTGTTAATTAACTTGTTAATCAACTGTACATGCATATCTCATATTTATTACTAGTATGAATAAAAATGCACTCCGCAAGAAAATCACAGTTAAAATTGTAAAACAATGGACACACGTCAGAAAGTCACACCTGTAGCTAGTAAGAAAATGCAGTAAAAACTGAGTCACAGCTTTATAGAGCTGTAGAGTCGATAAATTTCCAAAGTTTCGCACCAAATCGTGCAGAAATGAGGGATCTGATAACTGAGAGATAGCGTATCATGAGGAAAAAACAATCTGGGGGGAACGCAGCAAGTTTTAATGAAAGCCATAAATCACGTCCAAGAGGAGAGGATTTACAAATGTGAGATGGCTATGGTAAAAAAAGGAACTCAATATGTTGAAAATGAGACACTTTCTATGAGTGAACGGTCGCAGAGCAGAAGAGTAGAGAAAATCAAGATGTTTTATGCTCTCACATGCATCAAAGGCACATCCACGCGAAATCTGAGAAGATTTCCAGCGAGATTTACGTAACAGTGTGCGATAAAGACCGACAGTTCAAGAGGGTGTAAATTCTATCAACTCACCCGTAAAAAAATAAGAACACTGCGGCTAGACTTCACGACATAGAATGATCGATGATAAATAATGAGCGTCGATTCAAAGAAAAAAAGAACAAGCCTCGCTTCAATACATGCATATTTACTTACATACGTTGCAAACGACACCTGATCATAAAATTACGGTTATAGAACTAAAAGTAGTGAGACACTGCATGTAGAGGAGATATCAAGGAGTTGAGCCGTTTGGCTTACAAGGAAAGGATACTCGGTCACCGTGGCCATTTGGAATGCGATATGTACTGTAAGATGCATATCGAAACGCTGATTCCAAATCTGTGCTCGATATCTGCGAAATGATCTTCTGAAGGAAGTTATGAACTTTTTTTCGTGGAAAATTTGGGTGCTTTTGTGTAGTTAAAATCACCAAATTAGTTCTAAGTTGCCATTTGAAGCTATTGAAGAGAATCTTAAAAGGAATACTGTATTATACAATATGCAATGTTGTATTATACATATCTAAATCATGTTCAGCATTTGAAAAAGAAAGAAATTTTTTTATTGATGATTTTGAGCCTCCGCAGTAACGCAGTTTATCCATAGAAAAATAATCATAACTCCATCCAGATTATCGTTTCGCAGATATGGAAGACAGTATTCGAACCAGCATTAAAAGAAATTTGAAAGCATTTTCAAATATAGAAGTCATTATGAATGGCCGCGGTGACCAAGTATCCTTCCCTTGTTAGAGGTAAGTTCGCTTTTGAAGTGTTTAAGTGAGTTTGGAGTACATTTCGGCAAGCTCTGCGGCGAAGTGAGCCTTCAACTTTGGTCTTTTACTCTTCAGCGTGGGCGTAAGGAGATCGTTCTCCACAGAAAACATGATAGGAGAAAGGCGAATGTCCTTCACCTGAAAGCACATTATTTTTCATACACTCTTCCATCGATCCCTTCATGATATATTAATACGAAAAGGAGCATGTGGACATCAAAACTGCAATGTGTAAAGGATTGCAGGGTCTGCGAAATGGGTTCAAAATGTTTTGTATAGGCTACAATACATTTTCCATGGCACAGGTTTTGACGTCAAAGTGGATCCATACTTTGATCCGAATTATATTACACTAGCTGGCTTACCCGGCTCCGCCGTATGTTCCCAATAGAAAATTCCATTTCTGAACCGATCGGGACCAAACTTGGCACACACACACTTCGGGCCCCGGCGGGTGTCATAGGCTACTTTTCGTCATCGATCGATATCGATTTTATCGATTTTCTGCAAAATTTGAGCTACGGGGCTGGGAGTTGGCAGGGGTGTAATCGAGCATGCTGATCACCCCCATGGGGGCACCCGCCGGGGCCCGAAGTGTATGTGTGCCAAGTTTGGTCCGGATCGGTTCAGAAATGGAATTTTCTATTCGGAACATACGTACAGACAGACAGACAGACAGACATTCAGCTTTATATATAAGATTACAGATTACAAATCAAAGAGACCCGTCACAATCAAAGTTAGCGCACAAAATATAGTTCAAAGTATGAAAGTCATCCTGCCCCTGCGGTCAAATTAGAATATATCTTCCGCAGCGGACGCATTAAGCAAGAAATGGCACTTTGTATTTGATCATATAATTAATACGCTGCTCATCAATCCGACAGTGGCGTACCGAGGGGGGGGGGGCGTCTCCCCCCCCCCTCTCCCCGAGAATGCGTCGCCAAATTTTTGAAAGTTACTTATATGGGTTATAAAAATGTGCAAGTGACTTGTTTATTTTTGTGAATAATTAAAATAATTTTTGAAAATTTTTAAAAATTTTTAAAAATTCAAATTAGCCTTGTAAAAAATTTTTTTCGAGGGCGTGGCTGACGCCACGCCCCCTTTTTCCAGATTTTCGGGGTTGGGGACCCCTAAAAATTTTCAGAAGCACTCCTAAAATTTTTTTCGGAGTGCGTGTAGCCACGCACCTTCATTCGAAAAAAATTTTTGTCCCCCCCCCCCCGAGCGGAAATCCTACGTACGCCACTGCAATCCGAATAAGCTTATTTCAAGCGCAGCAAAAATGAGCGCTATTCCAGAATGATTACAAACGTAAGCAGCTGTGCAAAACAGGGAGCTTACCTGCTCAAATGAGAACAGTCCACCTTTCTTTCCGACAGCAACCATGTCATTATGCACCATTTTGACGACGTGCCTGTTCTTGCATAACTCTTCCAATGTCCCAGTAAGTTGAAGATGACTCTTGCAAGCAGGGATGAGCTCCTACAACAGGATCTTGAAGCTGCCATAAACTTGCAGAAAACAGGTATATACCTCGGCATCGGGGACAACTATAGCGATGAGGCAGGTTTTAAGTGATTCTCCATATACAAAGGATTGAGCAACAAACTTCGATCTCACATAGATGTTTTCAATTTTCTCCGGTGCAACGTATTCACCCTAGATTCGGAAGATAAGTCAATTAGTCCACAGGAAATATTCAAACATGCCATGTTTACCTGCGCCAATTTAAAGATATGCTTCTTTCGATCAACAATCTTCAAAGTGCCTTCCTTCAACCACCGGCCTATGTCGCCAGTATGAAGCCATCCATCTTCATCGAGTACTTCTTTGGTGGTCTCCTCGTTCTTGTAGTAACCACGGAAAACTATTGGACCTTTTATGCAAACCTAAAAGAACATTATTTTCTTTTGATTTCAGTCGAACAAAGAACCCGAGTTTCAATTTCCTGAAGATTAGTAAATTTTCCATGTAATAAATTGGCAGTGCTTGATATCATTGACCGTGAACTGAACATTAGGAAAATGTGAACTGCGAGCTCTACCTCGCCAGCGTCATCCTTGGCAAAATATCCTAGTTCCGGCGCATCTACCAATTTGATGCGTGCAGCAGGAACGACCATTCCAACGTGTCCTGCATTAGCATCACCTTCCATTGAAATCTAGAAGAGAAGCAAGTAAGAAAAATGTACAAAGTAAAAAAAGAAGTACAATTTAGTTCCTGATTCACCGTAGCACAAGCAACAGATTCCGTTTGGCCGTAACCTTCAACAACTACACATCCCATTGCAGCTCTTACAAAAGTGAGAACGTTTTCCGAAAGAGGTGCAGATCCAGTGAGCATAATTCTTACACGTCCTGGAAGGTAGCAATGGCAAGAGGCAATAAAATGCTTCTTCACATCGCGGCATACCTCCCATACTCTCCTTGACCTTCTTGAACACGAGATTGTCGAAGAAACCATCACCGCGAATGATGAAACTGAAAGACCGAATAATTGAAAAAGAGTTCCAGTGTGTTAAAGCTCTATCTGACTTCCGCATTTCACGAGCTTTGTAAGCAACAGCAACGTGAAGAAGAGCCTTCTTTACATAAGATTTGTTCACTTCGGACATCACCTGAAAGCGAATCTACTATCTGTACAAGATTAGATGATATCAACAACCTTGTCGTAAAGCCTATTGAGTACGCGTGGAACGACAGGAACGACTGTTGGTCGGAGTTCTTTGATGTCATCAGTAAGAAGTCGAATATCCCCTCTGAAAGAAAACGATAAGAAAAGGTCCAGGTATGCAAAACAAACAATCTTAGGAACACACCTATAAAAGCCGACACGAGCTCCTATTATGAAGAACACAGCCTCGATAACCCGTTCGAGCATATGAGCAAGAGGCAGAAAGCTGATCATGACATCCTAGAAAGAAACTAATATTGAAAGAGAAATGTAATATTCCTAGCGATGAGCAAGATTTTTAGCAAGAAACTGCAGAAATTTGCCACAAGTGTGGAGTATCTTTAAACGACACATGGTAGCGCTCTCTTATGCATTGGAACCAACGCCCTTTTTTTTACTAGCGTAACCATATACTACATATGATGAAATCGGTCCAGGCACATTATATGACATGACTTCTCATTCGCTATAAACTTATCCGACTTGCCGACCGTAGTGAAAAATTTGTATCCAACATCCCACAATCGCTTATTCACATCAACATAGGTATCACTACTACTTCATGTAAGAAGATATGATTACACAAGCTATGGCTGTTGTGAAAGTGGACAATATGATTATAGCATTGCATGATATAGCGATAACAATGGCATCTCCATTTGATTGGGAGAAAATCTGTTTCTGGTAAAGTTCAAATGTACCCCTTACCTCATGAGTACATGGTTCAGAGGACTGTGGGACCTGACCGTTTTGCAAAGCTTGCGACGTGGTATCATCATCAAAAGCCCTCTTAAAGTACCAACAAGTACAGCATTAGAATTGCTAGATTATGGCGTGTGCATACAATCGTGTTCAAGATTCGCTTAGTGCAGCAAGTATATATGCGGAGTAAACTAGTAACGCTATAAATGGACAAAGCGAATGGTTAGTATCCGAACAGACAGTATACACAGAATAACTGGTTCCTAGTCGCGATCAGATAACTTTCTGTAAAATGTATTCATATTCATATTGCCGGAAAAACACACGCTTCGAACCACGTCAAGATATGAAGCTGGTATATATGCAGCTCATACTCTGAAATTCTATAGATAGTCGCAAAAAAAACCAAAGCATTTGCTCATGGATATGAGTGCTACTGAACTATATACCCTACTAGCTGGCTTACCCGGCTCCGCCTGGCCTTGTCAAAAACGATAAAAGTTCCATTTCTATCCCTGTACACCTTTACCTGTGCCCACTTCTACATTCCCTATTCCCGCTGCGTGAGTAATCAGTATGCTCACCTACCTTCCTCACCAACCCCCCAGCTCCGTAGCTCAAACTTTGCACAAAGAAAAACCATAAAATTGAGTAAGGATAATTCTAAAAACTGATGGCGTTATTCGGCTATACGGGCCCCAAAATGTTTTTGTGACGGATCTTGCTCAAACTCGGTATATGGGGGTTATTTGAGCCGCTGATGACAATATCATAGTCATCGCGTGGCAGCGGGTAAAAATCATAAACCTGCCTGAAACCTTGGCAGGGAATTACTTAAAGTGCTGCTCAAAGAATATCGTGCTCAGTCCCCGCGATAAAGGCAATTCGTGTGTTATAAAAGTTTCCCACGACCGTAATGCTTTCCAGGACCACTGCCGCGCGCGATACATCCTTCGGCGGCTTTTGCCTAAGCAAATCAAGGGGAGGGAGATTTGCCGCGTGCGCTACACGTTGGGACAGGTTATCAGGATGGCGCTGGAAACCGCCATGCAAAACGACCGTTTCCCCATTTCATAAATATCTGGAATCTAAATTGGCCCTGTCCATTCAAATCCTGCAACTCATCATAACTTCACTAATGCTTTATGACAGCGAGCAAGTTTCATATTCATAAGCAGTATACTTGTGAACCGTTACAGGTAAGGTTTTGAGCAAATCTGGAACTTCGACCTATCTACACCCACCGTAACCCAAGAAAATGCACCATCCTGCGAAATCAACATGATATTTATGTTCAGCGCGCTAAATGACCACCCCTAGACGAAGCAAATCTATGTTTTCGACTCCACACCGTATATAACCACCCTAACTCTATGAAGAGGTCCCAATATGCAGAGAGAGTATGAATTTCGTAATCAGCATGTCGAATAAGTTCTCTGGACCGAACTCCAGCCGAATTCATGATTTTGACTTCCTACCGCACACCTATCGTAACCACATGGGGAGACTTCCTGCGACAAAATGTGTGATATCTGTAATCAGCATGTAAGATAACCCTTATACACGAATCTGAGCAAGCTCTACGACAAAAAAATTTCGGGGTCCGGTTAGCCGAATAGCGCCAAACTAATATCGAACTCGTAATCAGCATGCTTGATTACCCCCCTGTGCAAACTCCCAGCCCCGTAGCTCAAACTTTGCAAAAAAAACGATAAAATCGATAAAAATAATGGACAATTCCAAAAACTAATATTGTATTCGGAATCCCCATGCTCGATTACCCCTGTGCAAACTCCCAGCCCCGTAGTTCAAACTTTGCAAAAAAATCGATAAAATCGATAAAAGTAATCGATAATCCTGGAAACTAATATTGTATTCGGAATCCCCATGCTCGATTACCCCCCTGTGCAAACTCCCAGCCTCGTACCTCAAACTTTGCAAAAAAATCGATAAAATCGATAAAAGTAATCGATAGTCCTGAAAACTAATATTGTATTCGGAATCCCCACGCTCGATTACCCCCCTGTGCCAAATCCCAGCCCCTTAGGTGAACTCAGCAAAAAAATCGATAAAAATCGATATCGATGGATAACGAAAAGTAGCCTATGACACCCGCCGGGGCCTGATGTGTATGTGTGCCAAGTTTGGTCCGGATCGGTTCAGAAATGGAATTTTCTATTCGGAACATACGTACAGACATAACCTCGAGTCATTTGTAACTTAATATGTGAGATTGCACATTAAGCCCTATTAGCGACGGCACCCACACTAGTAACTTCCCAGTAAAACATTTTCCAGCCTAACAAAATATATTATAGAAATGTGTTTTACTGACTAATATATAACCAACTAAAACAAAAGAAACAAGGAAACAAGGAGAAATTACTGGAAACGAGCAGGTTCTAGTTTTGCAGTTCGTCAGTTAACGTGTAGAGTGTGCACTACGCATATTAAGTTACGAATGACTCGACAGTACATACAGACAGACAAACAGACATTCAGCTTTATATATAAGATTTTCAGGTGTACAAGGTGCGGGGGGATCTTTCTGTGAAAATGGCCGGCCCAAACACGTCAAGGGACTTCGCAGCCAAAGGACCTTATATTGTGCTGCATATTGCTTGAAAGAATCGTGCGGCATAAGAATCGCTTTTCTAAACACAGCTGAGGCTGCTGAGCAGCTCGCTTGAAATTTTGAAAAAAGTGCGGCTTATACACCTGAAAATAGGGTAATGAGAAGATATCCAAATCTGTGAGTGCGCCTATGGCACCTGCCATACTTGATCCTCTTGATGCGCTTCGTGCAAGAGCGTGCACATAGCAGTCTGTCATTTGGCGCCGCGTAGGTAAAAAGGAATTTTGTATGGTAACGGCAAATACGCTGTACGCGACGCTAAATGACAAATTAGTGACGCGCGTTTTGCACGAAGCGGATCAAGCGGATCAAGCGGACCTCCGCCCGTAGGCTCGCTGGCTTTCAAAAAAAAGGGAACATAATTTCTGAGAGGCAGCAAGATTCCTCAGTCGACCGTGGATGTACTTTCTTTTCCTCAAAAGATATGATTTGTTGTCGACTTTATCAAATAAATACCAAATATCAAGCGGATCAAGAGGATCAAGTATGGTGGGTGCCTATGTATCTGTGCGAAGAAATACTCGGAAAGAGGTTGTTGACAGGAAACCTCTATAAATGCGTATACACCCGATTCTGCACCTTAAGACATTTAACTGCCTCAGATTGCTGAGCGTAAGAGGCAATGATTACATGAAAGTAAAAAGTAAGTCAGTATGCCAAGAATTGAAGCAAGAGTGATCGCTGTAAGTGTTCGCTAGAAGACGGTGAGAACAGCAGATAGTGAAATTATCATAGCTATCCCAGCACCAAACTAGACTCACAATCAGTCGTGAAAATCGAGATTACCCAAGAATGTGCAGTTAATGACACGACAAATGTAAGCCACTTACTGATGAACAAACTCTAGAGTGCTTGAAGAATTCCAGCAACACTGTGTCTGCAACAACATTTGCGTGGGTAAGCATGACACCTTTGGGTGTACCCGTTGTTCCGGAAGTGTAGCAGATTGTGGCCAAATCTTCAGGCTAAAGCTCCGAATTATGTTAAATAAACTAAAGTGGACAAATGGCTCACACCTTAGGCGGCACATGCTTGGGTCTATTTTTGGCATCATGACCCAACCTTTCCAACTCCTGCATGGTCATTACTCGGACATCGAAATTCTCTGCTGCGGATTGCAATTCTTTAGTGACTGGCTCCATAACGACTAAGTATTTCAGATGGGGACATGTTGGCTTCCGCCAGATAAGGCCTGAAAAGAGATGACCCATGCAAAATAGAGCATTAATCCAAACAGACCAACCCATTGCTTTAGAAACAGCATCACAGACTATGATCGGGATTTCTGCTTGGTTGATTATATAAACGCAGGCCTCGCATCCTAGTGTCTCGTATATTGGCACAATAACATTGGAGAAGTTGTAGGAAGCTAATTCCGTTATAACCCACTGAAAGTTTTGCGGATGATCATTATTCTCAGTTTTGTGCATAAGAGCTTAAGTACCACGCCTACTTCTACAGCTCTATTGAGCATTTTATTTATTTATATATTTATAGCTATTTTGTGCATTTACCAAACATTTTTCTCTGCAAACCATTATGCCGATAGCTTCGTTGCTCAGTCTTTGATCACGAAGATCTTACAACGATCTCCGCAGAACGATCATCAAACTCAAAGCGCGATTCAGACAAGACACAACTCATAACGTTACCAAATTTTCCAGGCGTACTACCGAACTTGGAGGCTTGACCTATCAGTTACGCAAAACTCGATTATGCTGGAGTGTCTGCAGTCACTACGCTTGACCTTCATCAGCAGGCTGATACGGCATGTTGGTCGGCAACGAAGAATCACATTGTAATGATGTTTACTTCTACTCCGACTGTGCTATTAACAACAAGCACAGACTCCGCTACTTTAAAACTATCAGTAAGCATGTAAACTCGTACTTGAACACATCAAGCAGAAGGTAGTAAGTTCAATTCTACTTCAGATTTTATGAAGTTGTTTTACACGCTGACCAGTAAAAGCTGTCAATATTTGCTGATTAGAGTGTTAAATTAACAACCAACTTCCTCCCTTAGAAACATCCCCTTGCAATAGTGCTAATAATTCGTGCTTAAGACATAGAAAAAAGGGAAACTATTAACCTAATAAAAGAACTTCTTGACATAACGTCGTCAAAAGGAAACATTTATTCGCATTCCGGTTTCGGGGCTAAGAACTATACCGGTCATGCGACTTCCTTGGTGCCCCTCATCAGTAGTTCCCAAGGAAGTGTAAAAGATAAATAAAATAGAATATGTTGAAATATATGCGAACCCAATAGATCTTAGTGGCATGAGAAGCAAGTGATATGTTCGAGGACCCTGGTAACTACCAAGTTTTGGCGCCAACAAATGCCGCGCTGTCACTAGTCCAACTACTCCATGTTATCAGTCCATGTTTTTCGCACCTCATGTATAAGTGGAAGATGCACACTAGTAATAAAACCGTATTTACGTAAAATATAAGGGCGATGATACATAGTTTGAATATGACTTTATATAAAATACTGAGACTCCAATGTACATAGAGGTTCTAACCAATTCTAAGACTCTACGTCTAAAGTCTATATACTTAGAACTATTTCTGTATATTCTTAAGATCTCTGAAGTAAGCGTATTGAATAATATGTAGCGAGGTATATTGGACCTCCAGTTTGGATATCTAGTTACTCTAAAGTTATAATCATCTGTTTTATTGTATAGACTAAAACTGACATTTTTGTTATCAATAGTTATTGTAAGATCCAAAAAATTAGTCACTCCAACACTAATGGATGTAGTTTCTATATCTAAAGTGGGGTGGTATATATCTTTAAGGCTATCTATAAAATGGGATGCATTAGTTGAAATATGCAGTATGTCATCTATATATCTGTAGGTATGTTGGCACAAAAATACGTTATACTTCTTCTCCACAATCTGTTTTCTAATGAAAGTATATTCCATGTAAGCTAGCGTAAGATCTGCCATTTGTGGACTACAAGACGCTCCCTGTGAAATCCCTTTAATCTGTTTATATATTCTTCCACCAAAGTATAAATAACTGGCATTCAAAACTGAGTCTATCATGTAAACTATGTCCTCTATCTGGTAGTACCTGCCTTTTGCTCTATCTTCATTTGTATATGACACTCTAGATTGATACAACCTTGAGTATTTAAATCCCCTCATGCAAATAGTAATTAGTTTTTTAAGACTATTCCTAACTACATTATGTGGCAGACTAGTAAACAGGCTAGAGAAGTCTGCAGAATATACCTGCAGATTCCCATTAAGACTTCCCACTTCTTCCACTACCTGTTTACTGTTTTCTATCGCCCAAAAATGTTTGATATTATTTCTAAGCTCAATAACCTTACAATAGTTTTGAAAGTGTCTACGAAAATGTGACAATATTAGCTGTATAATATTTGGCAAAGGTTTCAGTGTACTTCTTTTTGCACCCGTAATATATCTGAACTTTATGGGATTCTTATGCATTTTAGGTATACCATAAATTCTAGGTATTTCCAAACTACCATTGTCACTTTTTATGTTAAGTCCATTCAGAATTCTGTTATGGGTTCTAATAACATCCTCTTCTTGTAAGTCCGTGCACACATATGTGTAACCGTCTGCGGCTGATTGCTCCATTTCTTTTTTCATCATTGTTACAGATAGTTTTTTGCAAGTGAAACTAAAGTTGGAGCTAGCCTTATCTATAGGTGTAATCACAAAATATTTCTGTAAGCTTCTCAGGCAATCTCGATTATAATCTTCACTTTCGACCAAGCCCTTGTCGTATAAGTCAAATAGTTTAGATTTAACTCGTTTTCTGAAGTAGTTTTGTAACTGTGCTGTAACATTTTGCTCAATTTCAGCATTTGTTCTAGTTTTCTTGCATATTTTCGAGACCAAGTCTTGGACCAAAGCGTGTAGGATTTGCAGCACATCCTGTTTCGTGATAATTCCATGTGTGCGGTACTTTGTACCTTTTTCTAGTAGCTTTCTAAGTCTAATATCATGTATTATTTCCATGTTACCAGTGCATATGTGATGGAGGTTGCTATCAATATATTCCGTATATTTACTACATATACATGGTTGTTTTTCTATATCTTTAATGCCCTGCTCATTTAGTCTCTTCAAAAAACTATTGTAATTACTAATTTGTAACCCTAAAGGTTTACTAAGTTTGTATCTAATAACAATCTCCATATTTTCCAACATGTTAGATTGTTCTATGTGTTGCATCAAAATTCTTTTTACATTGATAACGTTGCATAGCTTTTTTAATTTGAGTTTATCCATAATTTCTCCCATATATGGTACGGTTACTGTAAGTTGTTCCTTTGCTGTTTTGGCTCTAGTTACCTTTCTCCAGAACGGTGTTGCTATCAAAGCTAATATTTTATATTTATGTTCAAAGCTAAGATTACAAAATGAGTTCGCAAAAGCGAAATCTATGAGTCTATTTATATCGTATTTATTTAGGGTTCTAAAATAAATATATAGGGCATAGCTATTCAATTCATTTATTATATTAACAATAAATTCTGTTCTATCTTCGCATTTACCTTTCTTTCTTGACCTTCTTTTCTTCACTCTCCGCCTCTCATGGGACACAGGATGTTTGAAGAATGGATGCCCTTCTTTTTCCAATGGATTTATTAAATCCGATATATTTCCATAGCCTTTTATTTGGTCGTTGAAACCAAATGGGTAGGCGCTGATAAGAAGTTTAATCCAGTGTAATTACTTTTCCCTTAGGTTGATTTTGTTACTTTCATTAGCATAGGTATAGTCTAGTATATCAACCTTGAAGTTCTCTGGATTATGTTCAGTGTTTTTATAATGCTCCACCATGAAGGTACTGAGATTCTGTTTCTGGAAACTTCTTCTATGCTGGTAGATTCTTGATCTCAACTTTTGTTTCGTTCCACCAACATATTGCATCTTACATGTATCACATGTAATGGGGTAGACTACATTCGTAGCTTCACAGTTCGCCAAATCAGGTTTATTTGTTTTAAAGGAGTAGTTAGTGGTTGTGCTTATTATTAGGTTGGTGCAAAAGTAATGCGCGTTTTTCCAGCTCTTGTTTCAAGATAGCTTTTCCCCATCAAAGTTTCTCCTATAATACTTAACCAGCATACCGTTAAGAAGCTTCTTTCATGCTCTATCCAACGGTGATTGAAAGAAGCTTCTGGCCTCATTTGTTAAAAGTTTATAGAGCTTCATACAACAGCACTCGAAACCAGAATTTCATTGCACTTACTTTTTTGGCCAGGATTTGAGCGCGAGTAAACGCATTCTTTTGAAAATTTAACTACTGTATGTAGTAGAAATTTCCTACGTTATGCACTTTTACTGTTTTTTCAGAGATCTGTGGCCCATAAGTTTCCTTTGAAGAGGGCAATCGCTAAAGCTTCGCTCATTTCTATAAGCGTAAGGGTGGGCCTTTTGTTGACAGTTTTTGCAGAAGTGTGGAAGCTGTTCAGTTTACAGAAAATCAAAAATTTCCATTTTGGGATTTTGAGGGCTACGAAAAAACGTCGAAAAAAGCGGGCAATTTTGAATATTATTTTTTCCTTTTTGCAATTCTTTTTTGTTTAAGCCCCTTTCAACATTTTTTTGTACTACTGGCTTACGGCTACAAGACAGTCAACTTTTCATTTATATCGACAAATCTTGAAGGAAGTTATGATCAGTTGAAAACGAGGTTTCCGAAAAAATTTTTTTTGCTTATCAATCCATATTGTTCCACCGTTTTGCGATGTTAGCATAAATTAATGTGCGCTGTATAGAAAGAGGTTTGGTGCCTCTGATGGACTTTGCCGCACTGAAAAATATGGATTTTTTAGAAAGCTATAGCACGCCAAAGTGAGAACTTACAAAACGCGCATTATTTTTGCACCAACCTAATACATAATTTTCAAACCTGATCTTGTCACATATGTTACATGCATTTCTATGACATCTACCTCCTTTATTATCATTGCAATTTTCGACTTCTACCATTTTCAACCGCTGTCCCTCGTTAACATCATTGGACAAGGACGACATGTAACTTGTATAATAAGAGTTTTCGGGGTTTGCGGACCAAAATCCATTGAGTCTGAGGCGGTCCATCCAGGACTCTTATGCGGTTTCCTTATCAGAGGGTGTTTCCTCCTCGGCTAGGGCAAGCCTCTTCATCGCTGGGGAGCGCTACCCGTGGTGTAAAGCCCATGAACAACAAATTCAAGGAACATACACAAAAATTGCAAAAGATGAAAATATTTCAAATTGATATAGAGAAATAGAAAGAAACTTAGTGTACTTCTGGCCGATTTTTGCTGTAGATCCCAATGTGCGTGTCATTGCCAACAGGAATACCTAATTCTCGGAATGCGACAGAGACATCTTCGGCTCGTCCAAGCACCTGAAGAGGATAAATTATTTGATAGAATGCAAGTGCTGTGTCCCCCTGCGGTCATTCTCTTCACCTAGACTTGGTGAGAGGAATGTAGTAGTTTTATCAAAACAAGTCCCTTTGTTACTAGGTCTAAGAGTAAACAGAAGTCGACGGGATGATCTATAAACTACCGAACAAAGTTCAGCAACCCACGTGAATGTTATGGCTGAATGACTGATCAATACTCATTAACTATGGCGAGACGTATGATTAAAGAGCGCGGTTATTAAAGCAGACTAGAAATGTACTATCACCAACTTTCAGGAGCCATTATTTTACTTCAAGCGTTGAGGTGTGGTCGTCAGAACGTTCAAGTGATTGAATTTACGTTGATTTCGTGGCAAAGCACAATGACTTCAAATGATAGAAAAATCAAAAACTGCATTCAATCGCCGACGGACTGTTCGACACTAGGAGTTTAGAAAGGCTATCACAGCAATTAGAAAGTTGTTGGACACAACTATATAAGCTTTTTCATTTACAAAGTTTCTGCTGCTGCCGCTAGCTCAAAATTCCACTCCAAGCTAAAAACTGACATGGGCGTAAAGTTCGTTGCCTTTTGATTATCTCGACTATATTTGACAGGGTTCTGGCAAGAAACTATGAATTTGGATTATGACGCAGCTGTAAAAACGCAAAAGAAGATTAAAGATTGCGACTGTTCCTATCTATTGAATCCGCAATGTCAACGACGCACGAAACTGAGCAATTACATCTCAAAAAATGAGAAAAAATTTCCATATATCTTGTTCTTAGCGTCCAGGGTGGCTCAATGAAATAATACATCCTAAGAGTTTCTCGCCATGATGACGACAGCATGCAGCGATGAGAATGGGATATGCGACTATTCGAAAGAAATGAGTTCCAACAAAAGATATTTTAATTGCGCACGCACCTCACTGTAATGAAGCCAAACGTATGGCTCCGAACCGTCAGCTTGCTTCACTCGATGACCAAGCATTGGACCATTGTTTGACACACGGGCTCCTCTTCGGACGCCTTGATAAAGCGTAAGAACATCTTCGTAGAGGTAGGTCTGCAGTTTGCCATCCTTGAGGTATGCGGTGATTCGAGATCCATCCTGGAAAACAACGCATAGAAAAGAGCATATCTTTATCAGAAACATGGCGGTTAACGCAGCGGCATTTCCAGTTAGTCCCTTCCGAAAAACGTTAGCGTAGCTTTTTCAGTTCCTTTAAGACCTAGGACTGACTTTAGCTCAAAAGTCATGGAACTTAATTCTACGAAGAAACCTTCCCAGAGTTGCAGAAGCGAGTGGTAATCTGCCACAGAGCAAAAAAATCACTTGCCATTAGACAGCAACGAAAAAATCGACTACTTTTAAACACCGACCTAGAACCGAAAAAAGCAAGTTATTGTAACAACCGAATATGTTGCAAATCCCAAAAGAAGTTTAACGATCCCGATTCGCGATAATGACCAGGACCAAATAAGAAATCAGAAAATGTGAGATAAGAAAAAAAATCATCCAAACCTTCTGTTTGACTGTTTGATTGAGTGGATCCACTAATGGCGTTACTTTTCCGTTGGTACTATTGGAGGAGTATCCTAGACCCATCGTTACAGCAGCCAAAGACAAATACGATGGGAAAGATGATCCTGATGTACCAGCGATGAAGTGATCGAGGAGATCAACGAAACCCCTGAAATTAAGATTTTGCAATCAACACAGTTGAACGATTCGGGAAACAGGATGGGGGAAGGTAGGAGAACTGGGGTTGACTTTGGTTGGGACAAGGGTTGCTTAACAGCCGTCTCTGATCCTCTGACTTATAAATGGCCCATCTACCGCCTCAAATGGAGCCATTTATTAGTTCCAAGAGCAAATACTGAACAAGACCGCACAAGCCACGCTGATAGCAGGGCAAAAAGACGACAGTTTGTCATCATAAGCTACATCAGACTATTAGTCAGTGAAAGGAAAGCTTTTGAGCTCTTTTATCTGACGTCTGCTTTTTGGATTAAGCACTAAATCACAACACAGGCAAAGCAGCGTCCATTCTAGTGTAGACTGTAGGCAATGCTCATCACAACTGACACGCACGGACGGCACAATCACGTAATGGAATTTCAAGCTCACATATCCATCCACTGGTAAGAATAAATTGTAGATGAATTGAGATTTCTGCCTATGTTCTACAAAATGCATCTAAAGGCACTTAAGAAGGGTCGGGGACAATTCTCGACTCGAAGGACATTGTAGTTGGAGATGCCGATTTATACCTACAGGGCTTATCAAACGCAGTGTCGCTTTCATCAGCATCTCCACTCCCCGTTGGACTCTGCGCCTCTTCCGCGAACATGCTCTCTAATCACTTCCAATCGGGTAGGGGACAGAAAGCCGCCATTTGAGCCGCCTTTCGAAGCCAACTGGTCCCTTCGCAGTGTTGTTGCATGTCGTCTCAGGACCAGCAGGCGGAGGCGGCCCAAACTAGCGGCTTTCGTTCCCCTAAACCTTCCAGTCGATTCAGGCTCCGCTTTTCTCGCGCTCGCCCTGGGAAAGTGATCAGCGAGCATGTTCAGATGAGATGCAGAGTCCAGTGTGGGAGTGGAGATGCTGATGCAAGCGACACTCCGTTTGATAACCCCTGTACATCTAAAACCCGCGACATGGTTGATCCGCTTGGTACAGTCCGCTATCTTATATATAAAGCTGAATGTCTGTTTGTCTGTATGTCTGTATGTCTGTCTGTATGTGTGTACGTATGTTCCGAATAGAAAATTCCATTTCTGAACCGATCCGGACCAAACTTGGCACACATACACTTCGGGCCCCGGCGGGTGTCATGGGCTACTTTTCGTTATCGATCGATATCGATTTTATCGATTTTTTGCAAAATTTGAGCTACGGGGCTGGGAGTTGGCACAGGGGGGTAATCGAGCATGCTGATTACGAATATAACAATGACAGGGCCGGGCGGAGCCGGGTAAATCAACTAGTTGGTCATATAAGCGAACTGACCAATGATGAATCGAATGTCTCTTGATCCACTTCATTTCGCTACTGGCCAGTTCATAAATTTAACTAATGGCGAAGTGGATCAAGCGGATCAAGAGGGTCAGTATGGCGTGTGCCTAAGATTAGCTTTCTTGGTACATTACACACCAAACGGCATTCTTTCGATTCAATACATCAGCAGTGATTATTGTAGGTTCTTGATAGCCATTTAGTTTGAAAAACCACTAAAACTTACATATTACATTCATGCATCCAAATCAAAATATAGTGCAAGTGCATGTGGGCAGAAAAGGTAAACGAATGGGCGCACAATTACAACAGTGTAAAACCAATGGCCTCCATGTGTAGGCGGAGATGAGTGAAAGCCGAAAACATTACGGAGTAAATCTTGGACCGGTTCCACTTCCACAAGCTGCTTATCTTAGCGGATATGAGGTGCAAGGAGGACAACACAGAGGCAATCGTCATGAACAAAAGAGATAGTATCTCGGATAGAAAAGCGCCTACCTGCCCTGGGAGTGCATCCATACCGGTGTCCTTCATCATTATGTGTGCGAATGTAATCGTCTATATGTGGGCACGAATGAGAGGCAAGTAGAGGCTGAGGTGACAATGCCCATTTTCCTGAATAAATCTGGAAGTTTGACAGAATTAGCTATATACGCCAGTGTGACATGCGAAATTTCAAAAATTAAAACCGATTTAATTCGTTCAAAAAGGCCCTTGCATTGAAAGCAATTGCATCCTAATGTGTGCTTTATGCAGCATCAACAAAAACAGGTTGAAAGAAGAAACTCAGAAGAGATTAGACAGATAAGTATGTTGAAATTTGAAGCAAATGAAAACTCTTGTCGGCAAGACTGAATGTTCTGATTTCTGCAGCAAAAAAAACGAATTCAAAACCACTGCCAACATTTTATCAGGCATGCCAAAATTCCCCCACATAAAATCTCTCCACATGTGTACTTCCTTAAGAATTTCCGGCGGATTCATGACTGGATCTATGTACCTATAGGCGATGTCACCCCGATGTCACCTCGGTCGTGGATATCCAAGAGCCGGGGCTGCGCACGCGCGCTGCATGCGGAGGAAACATATGCGAGCGCGGTAGCCGGCTTGAAATCAGATATATGACCGCTATTGATTCGCCTTGCTCTCTACGATTGTGCTTGTCTTTCGCTGCGATCAACTTCTTTTGAATGCTTGAATGCATCTAATTTTCATTTCTTTATTAACAAAAAAATACTTTCAGGTTTCAGCTACTACAACGCTGGCAGAACAAAGTCTTTTTGTATTGACTACTCCTACCAGATCATCAGGCGATGTTCAGACATTGGTAGGTTTGGAGCTGTTGGATTAGCATCGCGTTGTACATTCGTTGCAATGTTTTTCGATGGTAATGTTTCTACGGGCACTGACTTTGAATCTTCAGTTCAAAGGCTCTTCCCACCATTGGTCGAGGTATCATTGCACTAGGAGTGTTTTCATGTATTTCCGCTTTCTGCCTTGTTGCAGTTCCTTTGCTCTCCTTGACTTCTTCTGAAAAATTAGAGAAGTAACTTCAATTTTCTTTCCGATGTTGCTCGAAAAGGTGAAACACACAGCATAAATCTGAGTTTGGTGAGATGCTAGCGGTCGAAATAGAATGACTAGAACAAAAGACGAGATCGAACGAAGGAATCGATCACTTTTGCTTACGCACAAACGAGATACTTTGCTACACATTTGAGACAAATAGCAAAAACTGCAACTTTCAACTATTCAGTGTACTGGCTTAAAAAGGAGTCAAGGAAAGCAAAGAAGGAAGTGAAACAAGGCTACAGTAGAACATATGAAAACACTCCTATGCAGAAACCTTGATCAATGGTAGGAAAAGCCTTAGTTGTTGGAAACTCGAATTCAGTGCTCGTAGAGACATCACTATTGAAAAACACTGCAACGAATACAACCCGATACTAATCCGATAGCTCCAAACCTACCAATGTCCGAGTATCGCTTTATGATCTGTCAAGAGTTGAAAAATTCCACTTTGTTTTGATCCAGCGTTGTAGTAGCAGACCTGAAAGTATTTCATTGCAATACAAACAGATGAAAATTAGTCATAAACGCACTCATTAATCGCAGAGAATGACAAGAGCAGTCGGAAAGAGCAAGGCGGAAATTTCAGCGGTCACATACAGTCGCTTCATTTCATATGATCATGTGTGCCATTGCACACACAGTCCACTTTGGCGTCCTCATCCTGGATTTGCAATCGCAAAAACGCAAGAGACCACCGATTGTTATCGATTACATCAATTTGAGGTAATTGAAAAGGAAAGAAAATGCTAAGAACACCCTAAAAACACTTACCTGAAGGCTTGTTTCTCCTACGAATCCAGGATGGGGACGCCAAAGGTGAACTGTGCGTGCAATGACACACATGATCATATGAAATGAAGCGACTGTATCTGACCATGCCAGCTACCGCGCTCGCATATCGTTTCCGCCGCGGGCGGCGCGCGTGCGCAGCCTCAGCTCGCGGATACCCACGACCGATGCGGGGTAACATAGCCTATATGTAAGTCTCCTCCAGGACTAGAAAGGTTTTCTTTTACTGAATCCATTCCAGTTCGCATGTATTAGGGTGAACGGTAAAAAATGGGACACCTTGAGAATAATTGCAGATTTCTCAAGGAAGAAAAGTGACTGAACTTTCCAATTTTGATGGATATTAGAATAAATTATTCTCTTTCAGATAGCACATATATAAGGTCATTTAAATAATTGATCATTTTTATACTTGCTAAAATGCAAAGTTAGTTACTTCGAGAAATTGTGAAGTTTGAGCAGTATCGGCGCAGTGAAACATGTGAGACCACCCAAAGTACCACTGCTGGAGTGAGTGGTGGGACAGTCACCAAACCCACGACGGCTTGGTGGCTTTAACTCTCAATGTCAGGAGATATGCCCAATAACAGCTTCGAGAATAAAGATACGCGTTGTTCAATTCTTTGCAGGTAAACGCATGATTTCTAGGTATCGTCTGATAGAGCTTTTTACGCTCTATCCATCCATATGCAGCATACTTCAGATTTTGTCTATCTTCGGAAAATATAGGGCAAAACATGATTTTTTGGTTTTTTGTTGCGCCAAAAATAGCTATTTTTCAGGTTTTTTTGAATTTTTTTTTTGAAATTGAAAAGAAATCTCAGGCATTTAACGTATCGTTCGAAAAAGCATGAAGAGCTCTTTCGAATGGTATGTCATTTGCTTTACGACTTTACGGTATAACAGCGCAAGATTGAGGATTGTCCAAAAAACCCTGTTCGAGTTCTTCACGGCGCCACGTGTAGGGTAGTGGAAGAGGAGCGTTAACGCGTTGTCAGAATAATAAGCGAGGATCGCCCATGTAAGCGACGTTTAAGTTTCTGCTTACTGCTGTTGCCAGAAACAAAAAATTCCAAAATGTAATGAAAATCAAGCTGTCCCATTTTTTACCGTTCACCCTAATATAACGAAAAGCACATTTTCGTGACTAGATTTTTGATGGTTTTTCGCAAAACCATCACAAGTGGGAATTTCTGCACCCATAAGGGTAGTTGGAAGGAGAAAAAATTAAATGCTCAAAATAACATACCGTAACCTGCGTCCTTTAACAAGTTGGGGCACGTTTTCATGTAGGGACTTTCGATATACGAGCGATATGCCACACAAAATGAGCGGATGAGAGATGGACACATTGAGTGGATGATTCACGACTGCTTACTATATGTCTCACTAGATCACTAGCTAGTAGGATACAAATACGATTAGGTAAATGCTGTCTTGTTCAACATAGTCCCTACACATCCTTCTTTTTGATGACAGAGGCGTCTGTAAATACTGGTGATAAAGTAACGTTCCTCTACATGAGCTAAGCATAAGTTTTCGTTCTGAGTGGGAAAGTGGTTCTTGTTGTGAAGCGAAATGTTGTGATATTCCGCTTGGAACGTTTTCCTGCAAGAGTAGACGTTTGCAAGTATCATTTACCATGATCGCACATGGTCATCGCATGCACTTTGATTACAGTTCAGAAATTCCATGCATCTTTGGTTATTTGCAAAGAATTTTGAAGAAACATACTATACGATAGCTTTCTTGCCAGATTGCCAGAGAAAAGAGATATTAACACTTAACTTTCCGCGCAACCCTACTCGAAGAGGGTAGTTTATCCAAAATAGTTATACAGAGGGATTGCATTGTGCACAAGGAGGAGAAAGTAAATCTCTAGTTCAATCATAAATTCGTCTCTTGCAAGATAAACAACAGTTTTGTTACAAAGGTTTCCCCATGATCGATCTGGTTGCAACCACTCCAAAAACTACATCTATGTGCAAAAACTTGCTTATATAACCTTTATCAGAAGAAAGTTTATTAACTTCTTGAGCAGTTGATAGACATTGTTCTCAATATTTTGAGAGCTTCGGAAACTCTCAATGTTAGAAGTGCTTGCGTTCTCTCCCAATGTCTGACTTTTAACTAGCGCCGCAGTGCTGCTGTAACTTGTTCCTATAGGTGAATATTATAGCGAACGGCTTAGGTTCATATGGAAATGCCTAAAACAAAGCCACTCGAACGCGAAGAATTCGGCTACACCAAAGCAAAAGGAAACATTTACGGGCTTCCGCCCTCTACAAGTGGGTTCATGTGTTCGCGCATTTTGAATAGGGGATAAGGGGACTTGTAGCTTTCCTGCGCTAAAATGACGACATACACATGTGCAGGCGAAGTCGAAGCTGGAAAGGTGTGTCCTCCAGAAAACCTGCGCGAAGAGTGCAGGTTCGTTATGTTATTTTGAGCATTTAACACGTTTCGGACCGCGAAATCGCGCGCGGCGAAAAAGAGTGCACTTTCAACCATTAGCCAACAAAGTGACTTTATTTCGTAGACTTTGTGTTACATCTGTAATCAGCTTGTCGGATAAGTTTCATACCCAAAGTCCTGAGTGGATTCGAAGTGATTAAATTTTGTCGTTTGTGAAGGACTTCTATGCGTTCCTGGAAGATAGGAACAAGAACTCAGTTTCTAATAGTATCCAAAAGTATCTATGTTGTAAACGGTACACATCAGTATTGAAACTACGGTTTTCCTCTTTAATATCAAAGCAAAGAAAAGTTGCGACGTCGCACGCGTCGTTCGCGTCGCCGCACTTCGTTGCAACTGTTGTTGGATTTGTGCTCATATCTCCTAAACAAATGTAGGCGGCACAACTCTACAGAGTCATTTAAAGTAGAAGCTTAGGCCTTTGACTTGATAACCTTGGACTAAAAGAAAACATCCTGTAAACGTCAAAAAGATTAAATCAGGGTGCTGCACCATGTGCAGCACCGGTGCGAAACGTGTTAACTTCTTCTGTTGGAAGGTCACAAAATGGAATTATATTCAAGACGTCGTTCTATGACATATTTCCGAAACCATGCAATTACGGTCTGTGCCAATGACGCACTCCCTTTTCCGTAAACGCACTGAGCGTCGCGCCACGTTTGCGCGCATTACTCGGACATTCAAAGGTAGGCGCCAGGCTAAGCCACTATTTTGTTCAGCTGCAAAAGGCGCACAGAATTAAGGGATCGTTCGACCGCGCACGAAGGCGCACAACCTTGTTTTTCAAGTCGATCGATAATGAAGACAAACATACGGGACCTTTGTGCGCCTTCTCAGATAATCGCCGGGGGCAGGCGGTCCGCAAACTCGCGCTTTTCTGCAGGCGGTCAGCAGAATTTTGGGGCGTGGCCAAACCTTCAGCGGGCGGCACTTCCTTTACGGTCGCATATTCTGCCAGCGGGCAGCAATACAGCATTTTTTGCAAGCGCTCGGCAAATAATTTCTTTCAGCGAGCGCTGGCCAAACTTTCAGCAAGCGCTCGGACTCTTTATAGGCATTTTCGGGCATACGTCGAGCGCAGGTAAGACTCTGTGTGGCAGAAGTGTCACCGTTGGTTTAATTACTCAAGTTTGAGGTACTTTCTCTCAGCGGAAAGTACCTGGGGGTTGCGCGGTCCTCCACAAAGGAACGTGCGGCCCTCGAAATTTTTGCATATTCTCGCGGAAAGTCCGCGAGAATGCGGCCACTGCGCCGCAGCTAATCCATAAAGAAACCGCGATTGTTTTTCAAGCATTCTTCTTTAATTTCGCCAACTTTCTTCCAAATTTCTGCAAGCGGGCCGCAAAAAATCAACGAACTATTTTTCCGGTGCGCGCTTGCTCAAAATTCGCATGGCCGCCTGCCCCCGGCGGTTATCTGAGTTTGTGCGCCTATGTGCGCGATCTGAACGATCCCTAATGTCGCTGCTAAGGCAGGCATCCGCCATACTTGATCCTCTTGATCCGCTTAATCCACTTAATCCGCTTGAGCTTGATCCGCTTCGTGCAAAACGCGCGACTCAGTAGTCTGTCATTTGGCGCCGCGTAGGTAAAAAGGAATTTCGAATGGTTAAGCAAATTCGCTGTACGCGGCGCCAAATGACACTGCTGAGGGCGCGCGTTTTAAACGAAGCGGATCAAGCGGATTAAGCGGATTAAGAGGATCAATTATGGCGGGTGCCGCAGACGCCATACTTGATCCGCTTGATCCACTTGATCCGCTTGATCCGCTTCATCATTGGTCAATACAGTGGACTGACCAATGGTGAAGTGGATGAGTGGATCAAGCGGATCAAGCGAATAACTGCCTCGTTATTGGTCAGTTCACTGAATCGACCAATGACGAAGCGGATCAAGCGGATCAAGTGGATTAAGCGGATCAAGTATGGCGCGTGCCTAAAGCCTGCTTCAGCTGCAGGTTCCGCGCAGAATTAACGTTGATTCTGTGCGCCTTTTGCAGCTAAACAAAATATTCGCTTAGTCTGGCACCTATCTTACTTCTCAGTATCAGATCCCCGCAACAGATGCAAAAAAGAAAGAAAAATCACCCAAGGCTCACATTCGTGTTGTAAATTCAAGGGTTTTATTTTTCAACGAAAAGTATGAATTGAGCCATGCTCGCTACATGCAAAATGAAAGGCAGGTGACATAGGCCGTCCGCGCCGTGCGCGGAGAGCAACGCTGTCGCGTCCATCGCAGACAGTTCGTGACCGGAAGAGGAGCAGAGAAAACAAGCGGGCAAGAGTGCAATGGAAAAGAGGAGTGACGCGCGATACACACTTTGCGCACTCTCCGCGCCCTGCGCGGAGGCCTATATCGATACCTAGTCAAGGTGTCAGCACAGATCTACAGACGGCTACAAAAAATGCCGGCAAATAGTGCGCGCTGTATTCCCATGCAGACGCTAAGTTGTACGAGTCTCTTTTTTTGTTTAATGCCTCTACGCTGTGATTTAGTCAAATTTCCTTCACTCTCCAGCAGAAACCTGGATCAAGTTCAGAAACGTGGACTAAGTTTCCTTTATTTTTGCAGAATTAGCTGTTGCGAAAAAAAAGGATTTATAGTCGTCCTCACCCAACTAGTCGGTCGGTGGACGAATTCGAATTCGAACTGGAGCAGGCAGGTCGCGGCAGAGCACGGCACCTTAGCTCTCCGTTCAAATTCACGCATTCACTTTGCGTATTTCTTCGCCATTGCTTAGCAGTTTTTGTATTGTTCCAACGTTTTTTTATCTATATTGAGTTCTTGTACAGTAAGTTTCGTCCCGCTTTAGGCGGAAATTGGATTGGCGGGAGTCCGCCTCGCAACAGCTCGCGCCGTTTCGCAGCTACAGTATATCCTATCGTGCTGAGAACCCATGTCTGCGTCTCTTCAATCTCCTTAGTCTTTGCTTGGCAAAATGCCAGCGCTATGCGCTCGCAAAGCCTCCAGCGATGCGCATGCGCTGCCCCACGTAGAACGTCTCGCCTAATCCGGGATGAAACCGACTGTAAATGCTGAGCGTTGTCTCCTGCCGCGCTCTGCCGTGACAGGCCTGCTCCAATTCAAATTTGAATTCGTCCACCGACCGACTAGTGGGGGTGAGGGCGACTATACCTATGACTCTTTCTAACGCCATTGTGCGTATTCGTTGCAAAAAATGAAGATGAAACCTTTGCAGAATTATTATACTCAGACACTCGGTGCGTGCAGCGCGCGCGCCTTTATGCTCAAGCCGGCAAAGCGCGTGCCATATTTTGGGGGCGTGTCCGGCACGGCGCCAAACGCGCGCCATACTAGACGCACGCGCGCCATACTTGACGCGAATGCAGAATTATCTGCGACACGCGTGCCTTTTTATCGTTTGCGCCCCAGAGAGGTTCCCATAGGTACCACGTCATCTCGCTGCCTTTCGCACTTTTGAACGTGTTGACGCCGGGCACTTCCGTTGAAATCTCAGGAGAAACGTGTCAAAAAGAGCGAAAGGCAGCGTCGCACCACGTACGCACGCTGGTTCACATGGGAACCTCTCTGGGGTGTAGACGATATATGAGAATACGCGGCGCGCGTGCTTTTTCGTTGTTATGCAGCCGCGCGAGCGCGATTTAGCTTTTAGCGCAGCGGTGCGCGTGCTCAAAAGGACGCCGAGTTGCTTTTTTGAAAATAACCTCGTCCCCTGCCCCTGTTTTTTGAAGTTTTACTGTTATTTTTTACGAATATTTGTCTTTATTTGTATCTAACAATAAGACTTTCATTTTGATTTTCTTTCTTGATTTGATGTATTTTTTGTGAACTTACTTTAGTTGATTGTCGTTATTATTAGCCTTTCTTCCTTACTGACGAGTTCCGGGAAAGGTTTATTCTTTTTTGCATTTGTCCGTCTAAGGGTAGGAACGAAACGGACGAAGTCGTTCTTATCATACAAATGCCTTCACATCAGCATGCAAATTTGCAATGCTGTCATTTATCACATCAAATGCGTATATGCCTCTAGCAATGTAGGTTGAGGCCTGTTAAAATTATCATTCGGCTCGAGGCGTATTGGCACCAAACATTTGAAAGTAGGCCAGGTCAATTAAGAACTTATAAACAATCCCTTACTAGTCAGTGCTTTATCTAGGCGAGGAGGTGGAGGTATGCCATTCAGCACGCAGTTCCCGGCCCCACATCATGTTGGAATAAGGGCTTTCGGAGGTAAGTGAAGCCAATGTTCATAAGTAATGCCATATAATTTTAGAAAGTTTGGAGGAGAACTTGAACGAGGCATATCTGGACTTCCTGCATATTCGACGACTACAAATGCCTACGGAGGAGCGAGTCATCTTGCATTCAGTACCAGGAGAACCGGAAGGCATAGTTTTAGTAATAAAATATTTTTCCTGCTTTATAATGCCACCGCTATAGATCATCCGAACATCTTGAACAACTATAACCACGCAGGAACGGACGGATGGGCGGAGGAAGAAGAGCAAGAAACTGGTGAAAGAGAGATGTGTAAGTGTTCTGATTGTTTTCGCTTTCAAAATGATGGTTGCAATTTAACATTTGTCGATTAAGCCACTCAAGACCGCATACTGTACTGTGCGATGCATGTACAGGATTTTGGCTTATCGGAGGCACAGATAAAATGGAATGAGAAGTTGATGAAAGTCCTTTATGGAAGGGCAACCCCTATTACGGTTTGTTCCACGTTTTGCCCGTTTTTCATAAGCTGATTTTCATGTAGTACAATGGACATTTCGCTCCGTTTAACAACAAAGTCCTGGAGGCTTACGACAACAAAAGATATCTGTATTGCTGCCAGTGCAACACGGAGTTGACAAAAGAGCAAACGGCATGTGAAAATCAGTCTTGCTCTATATTTGAGTCAGGTTTGAAGCTTCACGCCTACACACAGTTGAAATAAACTGTGAGTGAATACGGGTAGGGTGAATGTCAAAAGAGCAAAGAAAACTCAAAGAGTGCAAGTCCATCTGCTGCCATTTATACCACAACTTTCGCATACTGGTCCGTGATATAGGACACATCGTATCTGCACAGGATTCTACGTTCTCACGGAGTATATTACTTACGCGCTTTCTTTATTATCCTTTTCATTTTAAAAGCAATATGCTCGTCTTTGTTCAGTAAGCTTTATTCTTTTATCTATCAGGGCGCTGCAGACAATCGCCGTAACGTTTTTTGGCGGCTATTATAGCCATATTGAAAGCCGAAGGGACTTTGAAGCGCATGTTTTGAAAGTTTTGTTGTCGCTTTCTACAGATGGTTTTCGGCCTAGTTCACTCGGCCAAAAAGATTGTCCAAGTGAACTAGCTGTTTTTGAAATGAGAGCAGGAAAAATAAGAATTTGAATGTAAGAGTATGCATCAACACTCAAATCTTGCAAACTTCTAGGTTCAAAACCCTCGGGTATAAAAAAACGTTTGCGTCGCTTACATCTCGACATCGACCTTTCGGTCAATCAAATTCTTCAGCATTAGCCGCTCAGCAAACTTAGCTTCGAATAGCTTGTTAGCTGTATCGCCTGTTCTTGGGCTCATATAATTAGCTGTGCGTAACTAACGATAAGTGAAGAGAAGACGGCTGATGCTAACGATTGCTACAGATTGTGCAATTCAGACGACCCTTCAGATGAAATGACATTGCAACAATTGCCTTCGCCACATCGAATCTTACGCTTGCGTGTTCCGCACAAAGTATTCTCTAATAGATATGCATCTGTTATCGATTCGTAAAAGTCAGGTCAGAAGCGTTCGTAAAACGCAAACTGCTTGATGAAATCGTCTTCAAGAATTCTGCTTCCGGTGGTCGGTATTGCTCATGAAACCGTAAAGTATACCTAGTAATGATAAATTTAAAACTTCGTAACTGACTACATTTCAAATCTTACGCGCTCCACAGATTCCAATGAACAAGTGAAAAACAGATATTCATTAAAAATTCTTACTATAGAACATACAGTCGGTGTTGATCATGTGCTCCCTTTTCCGCAAGCGCAATGAGCTTCGCGACATGTTCGCGCGCGTATAGCTCCGGCGTTCAAATTGGCCTTATCGATCGGAGGTTCGCACGCAGGGCCCTTGCGTTGCGCATGCGTGGCTCACATGCGAAAGAGAGTAGTAATTGACATTGAGTGTAAGCGAGCAATCTCATTACTTTTGTTTAGAAACTTAATACACAATCGTAATGGTTTGACCTGATTGGCGAAAGTGATTTTACTCTCATTACTTTAACAAGGTATTTTTTGTGACCAAGAGACTTAAAGGCAGCGTACACCCAAAATTTGAGTTACCGAATTTCCTAGATCTTTCTACACCGTGTATATACTGGGCCCAGAAGAAGACCAACTGCGTTGGTCCGGTCTCTCAATGTTGCTTCTGAGCGGAGAAAACCCCCCTCAATTTTCTTTCACGCGGCCCCTTTTCTTTCGCTCCGCCTCCTCCGGACGAATCCATAACAGCGTAAGCTGCAATTGCAGTTGCAATTGCTGTTACAACATCTGTTGCATTTTTTGGGTGTACGCTGCCTTTAACAGTAAGATACATACAAGTGTGGCTGAAAGTCAATGAGTCAACGTAATAGCTAGTCAATAATTTCTAAGCGACAACGGAGCAAAATCCTCGAAAAATGTAGGGATAACTTCGGAGAACGTTGTGGCAGACAAGTAATAAATGCCTCTATCAGCGCAGTCTTGCCTCTTGGCTGGCTTCTTATACGTAGTGGAGCAAAAGTCCTCCTCAGAACATCTGGATCGAGAAAGTTATCTACCTGACGTCGCCATAATGAGAAGGATTGTGCGCCCCACGCTGAACAGGTACGGCGCGAGTACCGCCCGCGCAGCCAGCCCGGTAGGAATAGATGGCGCCGAGAAGCAGGGACACAACGCCGGAAATTAGGCGTCAAATTAAGTCAAATTTGACTTTCGCTGCAGCTACGGACTTTGAATTTCTTTTGACGCCTAATTTCCGGGACGGTAACCCCGGTGTTTTTTGAGATCTATAATTCTGTCTCCCTTTCAAGATTGAAAGAATTAATCTAAGGCTGATTCAACATCCTGGGCTTTTCTCGAACAGATTCTTATTTAAACGCCGTGTTACGACATTCAGAAGTATGTTATTTACTCACAACAGCAAGCCCATTACTCGCTTCGGAATAGCGCTAAGCAGCTACGAACAGCATATTTGGAACTAGCTGGCTTACCCGGCTCCGCCGTATATTCCGAATAGAAAATTCCATTTCTTAACCGATCCGGACCAAACTTGGCACACATACACTTCGGGCACCGGCGGGTGTCACAACCCACTTTTCGTTATCGATCGGTGTCAATTTTATCTATTTTTTGCAAAATTTGAGCTAGGGGGCTGGAATTTGGCAGGGGGTGTAATCGAGCATGCTGATCATCCCCCGTGGGGGTGATCAGCATGCTCGATTACATCCCCCTGCCAAATTCCAGCCCCCTAGCTCAAATTTTGCAAAAAAATCGATAAAATCGATAAAAGTAATGCACGGTTTCGAAAACTAATATTGTATTCGTAATCAGCATGCTCGATTACCCCCCTGTGCCAAATCCCAGCCCCCTAGCTCAAATTTTGCAAAAAATCGATAAAATCGACATCGATCGATGACGAAAAGTAGCCTATGACACCCGCCGGGGCTCGAAGTGTATGTGTGCCAAGTTTGGTCCCGATCGGTTCAGAAATGGAATTTTCTATTCGGAACATACGTACACACAGACATACAGACAGACAGACAGACAGACAGACAAACAGACATTCAGCTTTATATATAAGATCAGTATTCAAAGGTGATTCCAAATATATGTAATCTATCTCGAAAGGCGAATCTAATTTGGTATCCTTCCCTTGTGAGATAAGTTCAATTTAGTCTCCAAATCAGCGAATAGATCATAATTATTTTGAAGCAAGTTTCCTATCAGGGAAGCTGATCTCAATAACATTTCTTTTCCAGCCAAAAGTTGTCGAAATCACCTATCGCTGCAAAGCCAATCCTGCAGCGAAATGCAATAAATCGAAAAGAAAAAACAGCATGCATTCGTCCAGCACTATGATTCATCATCACCAGGGTGAAGCGGAGGGTGTGGCACACAACCGCCGGATACGATCCCCCCTTGGGTCGGACCCCATCACGACCCCCCCTCTCCTCATCCCGCCCCTAGCGTTTGCTAAAACATTATAAAATCGACGGAACTTTACTCCAAAAACATTACTCCAAAAGAAAAATACTCCTACAGAAAATTCTATGGTGCTAAAATGGCACCATAGAATTCAATCAAGTTTTTGGAGCTCGACATCACAAACATAAAGTTTCGAAGCGCTTGCTTTGAAAGAAAGAGAAAAGCACAAAAAAACGTATTGTAAAGTATTCAGTAATAACGGAACGATATTCAAACAAGAGATCGACTACCTTTCAAAAGCTCATTACAGGTTCCACGTACAACTTATTAGCCCAATCTGAATCTTAAAAAAGCTAGGCAGCTCAGGCATAGTCTAACAAGGAAAGGATACTCCGCGACCGTGGCCATTGGGAATGGGATGTACACCGTAAGGTGCATCTCGAAACGCTGATTCTGAATCTGTGCTCAATATCTGCGAAACGATTTTCTGGAGGAAGTTATGAACATTTTCCGTAGGAAATTTCTGTGCATTTGGGTAGTTAAATTCACTAAATTCGTTCTAGGTTACCGTTTGAAGCTAATGAAAGGAATTTTAAAAGGAATACTATTGTATTGTTTTTATCTAAATCATATTCAGCATTTGAGAAAAAAAGAAAAAATTTTATTAATGATTTTGACCCTCCGCAGTAGCGCAGTTTATTTATAAAAAAATAATCATAACTCCATCCAGGTTATCGTTTCGCAGATATGACAGAGAGTTTTTGAATCAGCATTAAAAGGCGCATTTTTTGATGTACAAGTCATTATGAATGGCCACGGTCAAGAAGTATCCTTCCCTTGTAAGAAAGGCACTGAGATAACGTAAAAAAATTAAGATGGATGAAGGAAGGTGGATGCGAAACTGCCCCGCTCCGTCGGCTAAACTGCCAAGTCCCTCTCTCGGTTTCAGAGTAGACAAAAGTCATTCTCTTGGGAAATTCTCAGCATTTCCAGGATTTGCCCACATTTTGACTAAGCGCTGCCCACGATGATGAGCAACGTCGAGAGCACCGCATCCATCTTCTGGAGCAATTAACGATCAGATGGTCTCTTGCAAAAAAACATCGGCAATCACACAGCCGCCCCGTTATAGCACCCCTTTAAAAATCCATTATCTAGCTCTAGCAAGACATCAGCAGACATAAACTAAAAAAATGCGAAGTCTCATGGTTCGCCCAAGTTCGGCAAGCTGTAAACTTGCTAAAAAACTTCTTAAGTTATTGACTACAATCAATAATGATGTTACTAGAAATCTTATGTGGAGTGGAAGCAAAAACGATGCCCTATCGGAGTCATCATATTCACTTTGCTTGCTACGTGCGCGAATCGAGAAAATAACGTGCTCCATCGATTTGCAGTGGGGCGCAACTCAGTTTCCCCACCAATGCCGCGGCCGATTATGGGCGTTTCTGGTGGATGTTTATCTTGCAAAATATCTATATGTTGTGACTCCATAAATGTTCGCCGGGTTTAGAAAAGTTTGAAGAGTATGCTCACTCATTGAGTACAGAACGACATCCTTGAATACTGTGAGCACCTAGTACAGAATCGAACACAACATCTACGAATTCGACCCGGTTCCTATGTTCTATCTCCGAACTTTTCAAGAATTATTGTTGGCACTTTTCCGACTTCTGGTAGCTAGTCAGTCATTTCAAGATAAGATAGCTAACTGAGCAAGGATCATTAGAACTTTTCCACACTCAAGATTTATAAATCATGAAATTTGCTGT